TTATTGTGACCCTCATGGAGACGTCCCTCAGAAGTCCCTCTGGGCACAGTTATGGTAACTGTTGACACCACCGAGTTGTTTCTCATGGGGTTTAGCGAGCAGGGGACTGAACCCGTGCAAGGTCAGAGGGGACGGACGGTGCTTCATTCCTCTGYGCTCTTCTCCCACCAGCCTCGCGCACCTGCAGACCTGGCCTTCAACTTCGACGCCAACAAGCAGCAAAGGCAGCTGATAGCAGAGCTGGAGAACAAGAACAGGTAAAGGGCGAGCTCTGCTCGGGGGTCTTCGTGGATGTTTGAGGAGAGAAAAGCTTTTGGTAGTAATACTGATTATTCGGAACCTTTTGCATCATGGTAAGCAGCTCTTCCCAGCTCTTGCATCGGGTTCCTGAGTGCCTTGCCTGCAGCTGCTGCAGCTGCCGTGCCCATATTTCCCCTGGGAGCGGCTTAAGCCGAGCCTAGGAACTGCCCTGAGCGTGGACCTCCGTGCCCACCTCTGTGTCCCTGTCCCTTACTGCAGAGACCACCAGGCGCAGTGACCTGCCCTGTGCTAGGCGCAAGCAGAAGGGCAGATTAGTGCTGAAAATAGAACTTCTTCTTCCAAATATAGCTTTTTTCTCCCATTTGAAACTGTCTCCACGCCTGTAAGGCAGGAGAGGCTTTGAGGAGACGTTGCCAGCATAGGGCACAGAAGGGTTTCTTAGTTCTCGTTGCTTAGGTAGTGCATTTTCTGTGTGTATAATGGGAACGTGTGGGAGTGCACTAGCTTACCTTGCTTGGGTTTGCGTCTGGGCCGGCTGTACGTGGACAACTGAGCTGTGTTTAGGCCAGAAGCAGCTGGGAAGCATCCTGGAAGGTYGGGACCGGTCTGCTAAGCCCTTTGCCTTTTCCTCCCGCCTCCGGCTCGGCGCAGGGAGATCCTGCAGGAGATCCAGCGGCTGCGCCTGGARCACGAGCAGGCGTCGCAGCCCACGCCGGAGAAGGCGCAGCAGAACCCCACGCTGCTGGCCGAGCTGCGGCTCCTGCGGTAAGGGCAGCGCTCAGCCTCGGGCACCTCCGCTCCCCCGTCTTGCTTTGGCTGCCAGGAAACCCGGCCCGCTGCTGGGCTCGSTCGCGGGCTGGGATTGGGGCTTTGAAAGCGTGGAAATGTTAGTTCCTGGGGGATGGATTTGTCCTACAGATCTGCAAGCCTTGAGCCCGCTAAGGTACGTCGGCTCTGCCCGGTCCCTGGCAAAGGCACGGAGAAAGCCCTGGTTTTCCAGGCTGCCCTTGCCCTGTGGTGCAGGCGGGCGCCGGTTCTCCTGCCTGCAGGGGCTGCTTCGAGCTGCCCCTCTGCGGTCCCGACCCATCCCAATGGATTCCGCAGCCTTGGGCACGTTTTTGGCCCCCACAAATGGCATCTCCCTCTCTTCCTAGGCCTTGGGAAGCAAAGCYGAGTGGTGCAGATTAAGCAGTAAAAGCAGATGTGCGCCCTGATCTTGATTCCTCGTTAACAAATGCATGGGCAGAGCTTCGCTGCTTCAATATGCTGCTTTTACATGGTGTCTAATCCTTGCCAAAATGCTGTATTGCTGCTAATTATAGTATAGATATAATATAGATAAAATGAGGCATATTGCTTATATTAATTATTGATGTGGGGAAAAAATTAATTATTAAGGATGATAATTGTAGGGGAAAAAAACAGAGCAACAGACTTTAAATTGACCTGCAGAGCAAAACCAGACCACATAAATATAAAAAGCTCAGCCCGGTGGGGTTTGTTAACGTACTCTAGGTGATCCCCCGTGTGTAATCAGCTCTTTAATTGCCTTGGGTTTTGTGATACGTTTGGCATTTAACAAGCCCGTTCTTTAAAATGCAGTTATTGGGTGAAATCCTTACATAGTATTTCACTGTTATGAGTGTGTAATACCGAGATGTATAATAAGGAATTTAAAAGGGCAGGCTCTAATATATTATGCTTTAACTTTGGRGTACAATATTATTATGGCCACAGAAATAACTGTAAAGGAATAAACAGTGCTCTCTATGTCTTGATTGTTACTTATCATCAACAGGACTGTAATTTCTGGAGTCCAGCATTTGTTGAATGCTGTAAGATCCTGAACTTTAAGCASTGCACAGATTTTTTCCCCCGTATTAGGGCCTTCCTTATTATTTTTGATAAAACAGAGCCGTCAGTTGTACGCTCTTAAGTCTCTCCCGGATAGACCTGCATTGGGCAGCTGCAGACAGCAGGGATATTTTTAATTACGCCCAGGAAGCGCAGGCCCTGGCTACCTCCTGCTGCTAACTGCGTTGGAATGAAGCCGGCGCAGGGGAGGTTTGCAGGGATGTTTCGGAGCTCGCACATCCCCTCGCCGGACACGGGCAGCTCTGCAGAGGCTGCGGGGCACGCGGCGAGCCCGGCGCTTCCCKTCCAAACGCTGCAGCCTCTGGCCTCTCTTTTCCTTCCTTTTCCTCCTCCCACGTCCGTTCTTGTTTGCGGGGCGGCTCTGCAGGACGCCCGGCTCTCACATTATTAAGGGTGTTCTTAAATAGAAGCTCGTTTTTTTTTCTTCTTTTTTTCTTGAAATGTGGTACTTAAAAAAAAAAATAAGTGCTTCCTACTATGAAAGGCTCCGGGTTCAGGTTTCTGGCTTTTAAATGAGAAGCCTGCCTGTCAGATGTGGGGCTCGTGGGGACTCTGCTGTASCTTGCTCTAATTTCTAAGAGCAGGAGGGAAGTGATGGGAGCCGTGGTCGTACCCACGAGGTTCCTGAGGGCGTGTGGAAGCAGCCCGTGTTCGTTTTCTGACGCTTTATTTTGTGTCACTTGAACAGGCAGAGGAAGGATGAACTGGAGCAGAGGATGTCCGCGCTGCAGGAGAGCAGGAGGGAGCTGATGGTGCAGCTCGAAGGGCTCATGAAGCTGCTCAAAGTAAGTGAGATGTGGCTCCGCTGCCCGGGGCACCGTCCGCGAGCCGCGGGAAGAGCCTGCGATAGTCACACGATTAGTCAATAGTCTGCAACTAGCCTGCAAGAGTCACTCAGAATAGTCACACAATCATTATCCCAGGATCCCAGGGTGGCTGAGGCTGGAAGGGACCCSCAGGGCTCCCCCAGCGCAGCCCCTGCTCCAGCAGGGACACCCAGAGCACGGGGCACCCGGGCGCATCCCGGCGCGCTGGCAGATCTGCAGAGCAGGAGCCTCCGCAGCCTCCCTGGGCAGCCTGGGCCAGGGCTCGGGCACCCTCCCACCAAACAAGTTCTTCCTCACGGCCACATGGAGCTGCCTGCGCTGCAACCTGCACCCACTGCCCCTTGGCCTGCCCCTGGCCACCACCCACCAGAGCTTGCACCTTCCTCCCTCCATTCCCTCTTCATTATGGTTGGAAAAGATCTTCACGGTGAGCAAGTCCACCCCTAATCGTTTCTCCACTGGCTCTGCATATTGATCCCAGTGGTTAGTGGGTCCTCAGGCTCAGTTGCTGCTTTGGTTAAATTATTGAGGTCCTATTGAGGACGTTGGAAAGCTTTAGAGGGAGAGCGTTGGATTTGGTGGTCACCGGGGTGTTCCCCGGATCACTGCTCTGCCGGGTGACCGTCCTGGTCCCCAGGCTCACCTGGGAGGCCCCACGTCATGGAGAGCCATTCCCCCCTTGCAGGGCAGTGTGTCACCTTCACTAGTCCCGCAGCACCCATCAACTCTCCTCATTTTGCCTTAGAGATTTAGATTTTTAGATCATTTCACTCTGATCTTATTACACGTTACTGTGTGGATTTGTTAGATAAGGGTCCATTATTCTATATGCCTTGTTCTATAAAGTGAATGGGAAGCCATCCTTACTCGAGGGGTTTCCCATCTGAGGCAGCAAGGATGCACAGCAGCAGGAGTGGGAGATACTCCAGCAATTACACTGATAGCACCACAAGGTTTTATAGGTGAGTTATCGGTACATAGTGATATTTCCAGGCAAATTTAGAGCTTGTCTGCACTTGAAACTGATAATGAATTCGCATAGGGTGTATATTTAAAGTGCAGTCACTCTTCAAATTAGGTTTGCAATGTGGAATGAGGCTGTGCTAGAGTACCATGCAAAGGCAGCTCTTTAACCAGAGGCCACGTGCAGATGAGCACAGCCTTGGAATTAACCTTTTGGGGCAGTTTTTTGGTCAGGGTTCTGCACGCTACCGTTTCTTACCTGTTGGTGTCTGTGCTGTAGAAATGCTGAAGAGAGTCAAAAATGCAGCCCGAGTTCTGCAGACACTAACACCTTGCAAGTCAAAGCGCAGTATCTCTGGAGATGGACACCCAAAGCAGAAATACAAAATTAAATATATATATATATATTATATATCAAACTGATGTATAGGAAAGATATACAGAGCCTGGAAGCTTCTGTTGAGTTAAAATGTCTTCTAGAGGGACATCTGGTCTTGCCTTGAAGCTGTCAGAAAGGGTAAATCCACAGCCCAAATTTGCTTACACAGTTCAAAATTTATGCCTCTTCTTCAATTTTAATGTATTTAAACTCAGCTTGCGGCCCTGGTTTTGGTGCATGTGGTTTCTCCTCTATTAAATCAAAGAGTGCTCCAACAGACCTGTTTTTTCCCCTGCGAAGATCCTTATTCATCACTGCTGCCTCCTGTTTGAAGTCAGCGAAGCAGGCAGAGCCCTGCTGCGGTCCTCACCATATTGGACCTCAGTCATCTTGATGGTAGATTGCTTCCCCTCCTGCAGAAGGTCCTAAGCCAGTTACAGGAGCAGGTCCGTCACTCTTCATCACAGTTCTGGTTTTGTGCATTTCTGCACCCGGGACAGCTTTTTGGAAGTCGTCAGTCGTCGGGTTCTTGCTCTGCGTAGCCTCCTCTTTATGGGTTTAGTGCAGGGCCAGCTGTCTGCTGAGGACGCCGGGATAAGCCTTGTCGTGGGAAAATCCTTACATCTATGCAGTTCCTTTAGAGTCAAACGTGTGATATATTAAAATAACGAAATCAGATTTATTTGGCCTATTTTCCATGAAGCCATCGTGCTACTTATATTCCTTAGCAATTGCATCTTGCATCCGTATTTCTGCTGCTTGGAATAAATTAGTGACAGAGCAAGATATTTAGATATATTTGGGTTGGATTACCTCCCTTTTTGAAGATCAGTGCACGACAGCACGTCCCAATCTTTGCCAAACTCACGTTTTTTGACAGTGCAGCTAACAGTTCTAGAGAACTTCCTCCACGTCTTTGTTCATGTTTCATTCCCTGGGTTTTCCTACCTATAGCTTCCCTAACTCCTGGAGAATTACTCGTTTTAGCGCATAAAGCATTTAGGAGAGCTGATACTGTGCTCTTCTTGACCGTATTAGATGTATTCGYGTCAGGATCTTTGTTGATCGAGCAGGTTGCAGTTCCAGCTGAGGGTGCTCATTCCTGCCGTGTCACCCCACATCCTCTCCATCTCCTTCTGCCTAAATGGGCCATAACTTGTTAGCGTTCTTGCAGSGATTTGTTGGACTCCTTTCTCCTGAAGGAGACGTTTTGGGCACCCAGCTGAGTCCTGGGTGCTGCCACAGCTCAGTGCACCTGTGGATCCCTGCCCTGGTCACCTCCTCAGTGCCAGAAACCCTCTTGGGCACCCCTGGTCCCCGACGGGCCCTGCTCACCTGCTCCAGGGCATCTCCAGGCTCGTTCAGCCGTGCACAGGGGCCAGGACCCATATCCATRTCTCAGTCAGGTAAGGCCACCCATGATCCATCCGCTGTGACGTCRGGGGCTCCTCTTGAGCATTTGTCATCTCCTTTTGCTCATCCAGGTCTTGGCTTCACCTTTGCTTTTCTTCAGCCCTGCTTCAAGGTGCTCTGCAGTCTCCTGCCACCACTCAGTGCCGTTGGCAAGYGCCCTGCTAATGTGTGTGCAGCCACCGAGGGTGACTGCTGCCTTCTCACGGGGTGGTTTCCTTAGGCTGCAAGGATGGCCAGCCAATATATCACGTTTCGCTTTGATTTCCATTTCCTCAATGAGCATTTCCTCACGAGCCGCTCTGCTGATTTATGTGCTCGCTGCCCCGTTCCTGCAGCAGAGCTGCGGGTCTCCCGAGAGCCTGTTCACATCTGCAGCTAATGCTGAAGCCTCCTTTTTCACACTAACAACAGGTTTTTTCCCTTTTTTTTTTGCGCAGTTGAGATCATTGGTGATGGTTCCCTGGCCCGGCTCCCCATCTGGGCTCGTGCATCCAGGGCTGGGAGCGGGAACAACTGGAAAGAGGCAGGAGCTTGGGGAGGGCTGCAGTGGCCCCCGCAGCTGATATCGATTCCCGGGGCAGCGGAACCGTATCCGACATCTGCTGCAGCCTAAATAGATATTTAGGAAAGGACCTCAAGTGGTGGGAGGGAAAAAAGACCAAAAAAGAGGATCTCTCGGGGTCTGTGCGACTGTGAAGCTCTGCAGTGTTTTCCACATTTTCCAGATTCCTGTATTTAACGTCGTGGTTGGTGCGGAGCAGCTGCATTAAGCGAGGGGCAGGTTCGGGTCCGTCCTGCTCACACGGGCAGCAGGGAGGGCAGGTCTGAGCCCACGCACGAGCCCGTGGGGTGCAGCGAGCACCAATGGCACCAGTGGCTTCGGCAGACCTACAGGGTGGTAGCTGGTATTTCGTGTCCGAGAGCCCCGTCACCCTGAAGACAGCCAGAGCCTCCCTTTTAGCTCCTCTCTAGCAAGAGGAGGCAGGAAGGAGGACGAGCAGAAGGGAAAGGATCGCTGTGAAGTCTGCGGCACACATTCAGTCCTCAGCAACCTGATGCTCATTTGAGGCAAGAAGCTGCTGTGGGGCGACGGGGCAGATTGCACCTTTACTTTCAGAGGCTGCGTCTGGCCGTCGAGGTTCCTCTGGTGACTGCAGATGTTTCCCCTGTTGCCGGGGGTCTGTTGTGTATTTTGTGTGTGAATGTTCCCGTTTAAGACGGTGATTAATCTCCCCTTTTTCTCTCTTCACCTTCTTCTCTTGCCAACATCTATAGGAAGAAGAGCAAAAGCAGGCAGTAAGTTGACTTCACTTTGTAGGGGACCTCACTCTTTTTTTTTTTTTGGCTTTCTGCATGAATCTGCAATTTGCTGCGGACTGGATGCTGTGCACAGCAACGGTGCAGCAGAACCGGGGCCGGGGTGCAGGGCCCCCTCGCCTGTCCAGGTGAACCCGGGCTSCATCCCTCCCAGCAGCGCATGTGTTTGTACCTGCCCTTGGTGTTGCTTTCCTCTCCCGTTCAAACTCGGTTCCCTGCCATGACCCCACGCTGCGTTCAGCACTCGTTCCGATCTGTGCATGGCCATCCAGGGTGGAAAACGCCAGTTCTCAGCTTGCTTCACYGTGTGTTTTGTTGGGGGTTCTTGGCAGCCTTTTCCATGCTCCTCGGAGCCGTCTCGTCTCTTCAGGTAACCTCTAATCTGCCTCTGCCACATGCAGGTCCCCGCACGAAAGCTGGTTCATGGCTTCACGCCCTCGGCACGGGTGCGTGTCGCTCCGGCACGGTGCACATTCCTTGCCTCAGTCCCGGCGTGCTCCTTGGGAACGGAGCGCGAGGGCCAAGAGGAGCCGACCTCTTGCCCGCGCTGCCGCAGCCCGGAATGCTGCGAGGTTTGGAGTCCTCTCCAGAGGGAGCCCTTCCCCTTCCCGAGCCGGTGCCGGCGCCTCTGCTCCGGCAGCGCCACGGCGCCGCATTTGCGCCTACGTTTTCCTTTGCACATCAAGTGTTAACAGAGGTTGGGCCCCTGTTTCCTCATGCTGCCGGGGTTTTACGTGTTTAGCAGATACCTTACACGAATTGAAAGTTTTCGTGATTATTTTTTGCAAAGAAATATGTATTTCTGGGCAGCTTCTGCAGCTGAAAGCATTTCCCAGTGCTGCGTGTGCTGGAAATGGCTGTTGGTGACGCAGGGGAGGCCTGCCATTAAAATTCAGGCGTYGATTTAAAGGGAAGGCCGTGGTGATGGTGCATCTTGTGCCGCATCCAGCTCCGCTCCGGCTGCTGCTGCCGGGGATCACTGAGCCCCGGGCTTGCTCAGGTACCTGGTGGGAATCCTTCGCTTCGTGAAGGAGCAGGTTGCAGCGAGCGGCAGTGATCCGCGAGGAATTTCCTGGGGATGGGAAGGCAATCGAGAGCCCGCAGTCCCCGTCCTCCCACTTCAGCCTGGGAAGAAGCATCCGCGTGGGGATGCGGTGGGGCGCTCGCTTGGTTTCCCCGTGCTGTGATGCTCGTCCGCATTATGGACATAGAAAAAGAGTAAATACGGTCCCTGCAGAGCTCCGTTCTCCTGGAATCCATGCTAAACGAGCCAAAAAGGATATGAAACCCAGGAGAGCAAATTCCGACCGACTCATGGCCGCGCAGCTGCTCTGTAGGTGCTGAAGCCTTGCGTCCTTTCTCCCTTGTGGGGGCCGAGCTGGGTTGGAATCGCTTTGCTCTGAGGTGCAGCCTGGGGAGAGGAGCGGTGCCAGCGCTGGGGTCCCCCTTGGCTGGGCAAACTCAGTCCCGGAGCGCGTGGGACCAGCAGCATTGCCGAGATTATCGCGTCCCAGGCAGGGCCAGCTGCTCGGCACCTTGTCTGGGCGCGTGCCACCAACCCACTGGTGCCTGGCATCCGAGTGGGCGTCGCGCTGGTGCTCACAGCCCTACGTGCCGTGCAGCGCCTTGGTGTCCGGGCTCTGTTGGCAGGGAGGCAGTGGCGTATCTCCAGTCCGAATTCCAGAAGAGCTCCCTGCGGCGCGCACCGGCTTGGTGATGCATTCGGGAGGTCATCGTCAGCCGTTTATTGCACGCGCAGAAATAACTGGATAAAAGCTGAGCGTCTGGGAGAGCTCAGGTTAAAGAAACACGGGCAACTTGAGGACTTGAAAAATAATATCCAACATCCCACTGTCTGTTAGAAGCTCTGCCAGCTGTGGTGGTGGTAGTGGGATCTTCTTTCTGCATCAGTGTACAAAACCCTGCAGTAGGTAGAAAGGGGCCTGCAGCGTGCTCAGAGGGCTCCATCCCCTGCCTGCAAGCACCAGACCTGGAAAAAGAAGGTGGAGAAGAAGGAGCTGCTCAGGACAAGACCTGGAAAAGACTGGCCGAGTCCTGCTGTGGAAGGAGAATATTAACAGGGTTATTCAAATAGTCACCACATCGGGTCTTGTTGCTGGTTTGTGCTTCCAAGGCTGATGCAGGCCAGGAGCAGCAGGAACATCTATGAAGGGAACAATGTCTAGGTCCCATGGAAGAGAAGACCCAGGTGCCTTCGTGATGCGCAGTCACCATCCTCCCAACCCCAGCCGCTGCGGGCTGGTTGTGCGGTGGCAGCACCAAGTTACCCAACAGGTTAAGGGAAATATCAATACCGGGCAGGTCAACAAGACAGCCCCTGCTTCGGGACCGGCAGCAGGTGGACAAGGAGGGCAGCAGCTTCCCTTGTGCAGTTGTGGTTCCTGATGCTGCAAGACGTGAGCCTGGCGGGGCGGTTTGTTCATAGAGTGGCAGGGAGAAGAGAGCTCGCAGGGGTGGGCATGGGGAAGAGCTCCCAGCTTCCGCTGCTGGCCTAGGAAGCTGTTTAGAGGTGACAGTGCCACCAGACATCTGCAGAGGAGTCATGGGGACCAGCTTCCATCCCCAGCAAAGCACCGGATGAGCAGAGTGACATCGGAGAGACCCAACTCCAGCCAAAAAATGGCCTTGGAAGACCTAGAAGCTCCCATGTTTTGGCCGGAACATCGTGGCTGTATCAAGAGACATCCATTTTCCCGCTCCCTGTTCGCAGCCATGGCCATTAACCCATGTGTTCCCATGTTCGGAGTGGATTTTCCATGAAGACCCTAGAAGCTCCCACGGTGTCATCCCCTTTGCGGGACGGGCCGCTCCTCGTCGCGCTGCGGTGCCGCGGGGCACTCGTAGCCCTCGCGCCCTTCGCCGCTCCTGCCGGGAGTACTGTGCTCGAGCTGCCAGAGATCCCTGCCAAGGCGGGTCCTAGTTTACAACAGCGCTATTTTTATAGCGCAGCTGGGGAGCGGCTTAAATAATCTGCTAACTATTCAAACCTCTTTGTGTCGCAGTGAGACGAGCCGCGCGCGCGGCTCCGCTGCCGAGTGCTCCGGAGGAGGCTGCAGGCGCCCGGCGCAGCGAATGCAGCGCGAGGCCACAGGGCTGCGTTGGTGCCGGGCCGCTCCGGGAACGGCTCCGCGCCAGGCAGGCTCCCATGGGAATATTCAAACGCTGGGATTGGGGGGGGTTCCCCCTTTGGGAGGTGGTGGGAAGCGTGACGGAGCAAGGGAGGCTCACGAGCCGTGCTGGCAGCGCGGCCACGTGGGCGCWTTATCTGCTCGTGATCCTCGTGAAGTCATGGAAGTGCTGGTGGGATTGCTGCGGAGCTCGTGGGAGAGGGAGTGAGGAGGCCCGCTCCGCTCCCTGCCCTCGCAGCAAACAGCTAACAACGCCAAGTCACCAGTGAGGGGTAGTCAGCATCAGAAGCAGTGCTGGGTCACCCCTCGTTGGGCCGTCGCCGAGGTGAACCTTCAGCTACTGCGACAGCAGAACCAATCCCAAGCCACAAGTGAAGACGAGGCCGGCATCATCATCGTCGTCGTCACGGGCTSGGGGGTGTTAACAAGCTGCCGGGACTTGCTCCTCACGCCTCAGCGCYGCAGAGCGGTGCTGTCCTGCCCTGCGTGGCCTCCCCCATTCACAGGTCCCGCCTTGGCCTCTGCGGAAGGGCAGCAAACTCTCGGGATTCAGGGATCGTGCCCCAAATTGCACGATTTAGAGTCATCACTGAAACCTTTGCCTGGAATAAATGGAGACAGGAAGGTGAACATAGCATCGTGTAGACTGAGACAAAGCTCAGGGTAGATGTAGGAGAAGGGCCCGATCTGGATTCCCACCACAGCAGCAGCTTGAAACGGCTTCTCTGCTCCCGAGATGTGTGGGCTGTGTCCGTGCTAGCAAACACACGTGGAGAGGTTCTCCAACACAGGGGCCAACTGGCAGGAAAATGCCTGTTTCTGTGCTCATAGATTTCCTTAGTCCCCAAACCTGGAGGTAGTCTACCAGTTGGGTAGACTGGGAATTGCTTGGGTAGACTGGGAAGTGCTCACATCATGCCAGGAGTGTCCTGACAACTTGGTGGTGTGAATTATCTTGTTCCAGAGGCAGACAGGCTCCTGGGCATGGTTCAGGTCCCTCACACAGGCAGACGTAGCCACGGAGTACCCTTGGAATGGTGCCTCCCAATGAGGGACTCTGTCATGGGCCTCCTGGAGGATGTCAAAGCTCGAATCATAGAATCCTTAAGGTTGGAAGGGACCTTTAGAGATCATTGGAAGAGCAAGTTAGATGTTAAAGACTGAAGGTTGTGTGGGGAACCCAACTGAGGATGTTCAGGAGACTCCTCAGAAGGGAAGGCTGGTCCCTGTTGACATCAGTATCAGTAGTGGAGATGATCCCAGCCTGCTCCTGAGTTGGCAGCACTGTTCCTGGTGGGTGGCTTTGCCTGACACGGTAGGAAGGCTTGGCAGGGAATAGCCATGGACATGCCTGAGGATCGCTGTCCTGGAACTGCGCTCCTTCTGATGGATCACACTGTGCTGTGGCGCTTGGACCTCAGGAGAGGGACAAGTCCCTGCATGCTGCAGTGCTGCTTCCTCTGCTGACCGGGACGAGTGTCCTGAAGGGTAGACCTGGGTGGGGAGCCCAGGTCCTGGTTTCRCTCTGAGGAGGAAGGAGATGAAGCTCCGCTCCCTGCGTTGCGTGAACAGTTGGCATGACCCTCCCGGCTGCGTTTTGCCCTCCGGATCACGCGTGAGGGCCTGGCCAAGGCTGAGCAGGAGCAGATGCACGTGGCTCGCAGCTCTGCTCTGCACTGCTCTGTGTCTCRTGGATGCCTGACCGAGGCCAAACGCTGCAGAAGGCTTCCCAAATAAACGTAGTGCTGCCGTGGAGCTCCTGGTCACCTCTGGTAGCTCATCTAGGCTGCTCAGGACGGTTCCCTGCTTGAGAGGAGCAACGACAAGGGA